TTTAACCATTTAATGCTACTAACCATCTAACAGTTTAAAATCTTTAATTTATTACTTGAGCATATTTTAAATGCCAGTTGATCTCTGTTAAATTAAAATCTTATTCAAAGACAGCACACTTGGGAGAAATTTTGAAGGAAACGTTAGCTAAATACCTAAAAAAAAAAAAAAGAAAAATGTCCTGTAGTTAATAATCTAAGTAATACTTTCCTTATAATATACACATGGCCACCACTGAGGTAATGTTCTTTCGTGGTTATTATTGCTACACTTATGTTCACATGCCCTGTTGAAAGCTATATAATTAGTAAACCCTTTAAAATAAAACTGTTAAAATGTTATTCTGGGCTATTCTTCCCTTTGTGTGCTGTTCTCTCAGAAGTTTTCTGTGCATTTTAAGCCCGTTGTGCTAATATTGACTCTTTTACCCACCTGCCAACTTTCTTATTCTTAGGCATCTCAGAAAATACAGTAAATGGTTGTCTTTCTCTCCACAGGGGAGCCATCCAAATCTCTTGATTATCTCTGAGAGGATCCACTGGGCAGGAATTTTTTTCAACAGCATCCTTTTCCTCCCCAGTTCTTCACCTTGCCCATTATGCATTCTGAAAAGCCCAGTTTTACCTTATTGCCTACATACCAGTTGCTACTGATCCTGTTTCTAGTTGTCATAATCTCACAACTCTGACTTCCATACTCCTATTTTTTTTTGCACTCCTATTTCTGATTGTTATTACAGTTGCTATTGTGAATTATTGACTTCAAGTAAACTTCAGTGGGTCGCTGATCAATCCCATGCTTCCAACTTTAAGCAGTTTGTTTTCTGAGGGCTGATGGCTTGCTCTATGCACTAACTTCTGCACAGTATTCCTTCTTTTGTTCATTGTTATTTGACATCTACAAACTGTTGACTTTTGGTTGTTGAACTTGCCAGCTCTTTCAGAATTCTATGGTGTGTGCATACCTCTTAAATCACTGACATAATTCTATCCTTTCAGAAGAAGACAAGCATCCTTTATACTCGAAAATGATAGGTAAACTGGTGGATAAACTGGTTAACCCACTCTGATCTCTGTTTTTTGTTTTAGTTTTTGTTTGGTGTACTTCCTCTAGAAAACAGAAATCTTCTCTCTCATTGTAGACCTTTGTTTATTCTTTTGTTTCTTTAAATCATATGACATATACAGTACATGGAAAGTCATTCAATGACAGTTTCCCTAAATTTGTCTTAAATCAGAAAAGGAGTGATACTAAAACCAAAACTTACATCCACTGAAATAATAAAAATACTCTCGGTATTCATAATGTGTTTTTCTTTTCACTACTTCTGTGTACCACAAATCATTATCTTCCTACCTGAGAACCTTACTATTACAATATTTTTATTATATAATATCTTTGAGTATACATTATATTTTCTGGTTCCTTTAAAATAAATTTTTGATGTGGAAATTTTTAACAAGTATGGAACCCATAGTCACTTAAGTTCAAAAAGTATCAATTTATCAGTTGAATGAGTTGAATTTTTATCTACACTTTTATATACTTTACCTTGCCCCTTTGAAAATAGTGAGAATGTTAGATGTGATATTACACCTGTCAGTATTTAGAATGAAAAGGCATAATATCATTATTATCATGCCTATAAAATTTAACACTATTTCCTTAATAATATAACTAATCAATTAACACCAAAATAGCACTAATTGCAGTATCTCATAATTTTTTTTGCAATTACGCTATTCAAATACAATCCAAACAATACATTTTGGCTGATACCATTTTTCAATTTCTTAAATTTTTATTACTATGTGTTTGCAGTGTTTGGAGATTACATTCATTGTGGGGAGTTGGTATACATACATAGTACAGCTTAACTCTTTTTACTTTCTTTTCTGCTTCTCCTCTATCCACCTCTTGGTCCCCTTTCCACATGCAAAAGATCTATCTTTCCGCTTCCTATTATTTTCCTTTTATTTTGCCCTTTACATTATTCATATTTTGGGTTTCTAATTCAGGAGAAACCATGTGATGTTATTTCACTAAACATTTTAGTCTCAAGGTACATCCTTTTTCCTACAAATGACTCAAATTTATGCTTTCTTATGGCAGAGTAGTACTCCATTGTGTATAACACCACATTTTCTTCACTCATCTGTTGATGGACATATAGACCACTTCCAGAATTTAGCTACTATGAATTGTGCCACTATAAATGTGGGTGTGCAAGTATCAGTGTAACATGATGTCTTTAACTCATTTAGGAAGACACCTGAAATGGGGATAGCTGGATCAAGTGGAATTTCTACTTTTAATTGTTTGAGGACTCTTCATACTAATTAACATAGTAGTTGTACTAATTTACATTTCCAGCAACAATGTGGAAGGATTCATTGACTTCCCCCAACAGCCTCACTAATTTATTATTATTTTAATTTTTGGTGATGGTCATTCTTTCCGGAATAAGATGGAATCTCAGTGTTGTTTTACTTTGCATTTCTCTAATGGCCAGCAATGCTGAACATTTTTTCATGTATTTATTGGCATTGGTTGAGAGTGAGAAAGTTGAATTATGTAGACCCCATATCGATCAGTTGGCATTACCCTTTTGAACTGTCTGTTCCTGTTCTAAATACATTTGGCATAAAGATTTCGAATACACTAGGAAGCTAAATGGCTTGAAAATCGATTTGTCATAAATAAAAGCTCATCTGAGTTTATGGAATACATGCTCTCACAAATCCACTGTAAAATGTAAAGAAATAGTCATATTGATGTGTGTACATAGTAACAAAAACAAGTGGAACTACCAGGGGACATGTAGTCTCGCAAAGCAGGACATCTGAAAACAAGAGGCAGGATATGAAGAGGCTTGGTATGAAGCTATCATGAAGCTACAAATGCTGAGCTTACTTTTAGAAATGTTGGATTTTAAGTGCTCACACAGTCAAGGCTCAAATTTGTTATAGGATAGATTGCAGACAAAAGACCTGACACTGTAGATTGTATAGTTAGACAACTAGACATGATGAACTCAGGAGAGCATGAGTGTATCAAAAATATAGGTGGAGGTCAAAGAGAGATGTGTAGAGAAAGGGGTGCAGGGCAGACATGGGGAGCAGGAAGAAGAGGGCACTGTCACTTGGTGCAGGGGCAGGGAAGAACACTATCTGGCCTTAGAAGGAAAGTTTTAAGTGGGAAGGATGGTCCTTCAGGCCAGGTACCACCAAGTAAAGTGAAGAGAGATAGAACATCCTCTGGGTTTCAGGAGGGAGGTTGCCGGAAGTACATGAGGAGACATTTGGTTTTAACTATAGTAAGCTACATATAGAAGAACAGCTACAGAAAATAAAGGGTAGAAGGAAGGCACTGATGCTCTGTTCTAGGCCTGGGGTTCTGAGGGAGGCAAGTGTGATGGTCTAGAGAAGCCATAAGTGGGAAAACTGAACTGCTCTTGGAAACAAGGCAGGAGTGTATCGTTTGTTGTTTTGATAAACAGGAAAATTTTCATTTTTAGAAAACTAAAATTTTGAATATAGTCAGTGCATAAACAGACTAACTAGTCATTTTTTTCTTTATTAAGTTTATTGGTACATTCAAAGCAAACAATACAGTTACATTTATCATTGGGATCTTGTAGCTTTACACGATATATCTTGGTTCTTGTTTTTCCCCATACACCTGTCCTCCCTTCACCCCTTCACCCTTTCCTATTTACAAATACTTTGTTTCAATTTTTTCACTAGTCATTTTAAATATTGCAGAGCAGTGTTTTATCAATTTTCATTCTGTGTATTACTATTGATGAATGATGCTTGTATACACAAAATTAGGTATTTAATTGGGAAAGCTAGTTTTCTTTTTACAAAAAAGAATTTCTCACTGCTTCCTCAATCGGATATGTACATGGAGAGATAAGTATTTTTAATTTGTTAATTTCATTGATTTTCTACTTACAGAGAAAATGTGTTTTTTACAAAAATGTCACCCAATGCAGAAAGTTTAAAAAGTATTTTTAAATCTCCTGAAATGATATTATTCAGAAACAATATCATTTCGGTAAACACCATTCAAAATGTTTATTTGCATAGATACCTTTTATTTTAATGAGATCATGCTATAAATGTAGTTTTGCATCTGCTTTTTTGCATCTAGTAATATGTTGTGCATATTTTCTGTGTCAATGAATATAGAGACTTAACATCCCTTCTTATTGGTAGCTGGTGTATGAAGGTACTATAGCTAACTTAAGCCATCTCCTATTGCTAGATGTCTAGATTTTTTTCCCAAATTTTCTACTTTAAGCAATACTACAATGAATATTTCTATTAGTATATTTTTGTGCCTGGGACTAGTTGCTTGTCTGGATAATTTCTTGAAAGTAAAGTTATGGATCAAAGGTTTTGCATATTTTATTTATTTTTGCATATTTCATATTGTGATACATATTTATATATTGTCAGAAATTCTAGGGAAAGCCTATACCATGCATATGTCCATCAATAGTTTATCAGTACCTAGGAATTTCTTTTTAATTTTTTAAATTTTCAAATAAGGTCATTTTTTTATCCTCAAAAATAAAGAAGCTGAAATTTATCAGTGGTTCTTAAACTTTGTAGGGCCTGAGGATTGTTTTAGAATTTTCAAGAGTTATTTAGCCTACTTTCCAGAAAAAAACAACAAAAAACACAAGTGCAAAAGCACAGGGCTTTTTACTTACTACTTATGGAAACTCACAGATCCTTTGAAGTTAAATCACAGACACATTAGGACTTTATATCTCTATGAAGTAAAGAGTCTCTGAATGAGATAATTGCAAAGAATTTTTTCTCTTTAACATTAGTGTGTACACATTTGCACATAAGTCGCATACTCATATGCACAAAAAATTTAAATATGTATTTGAACAAAATTTGACTTCTGCTGGATTCAGAACCTAGTCTCATGTGAAATCCCTAGTGTGCAAAGGTATCAAAGTAAAGTTTTCCTACTGATTTCAGGTTTTTCGATGGCGAGCCCACCAGGAAGAGTTAGCAAGACTGGAAATGGAAATTTCTGCCAGAAGAAGAGAAAAGGAAGAGGAGAAAGAGAGATTGTGGAGGAAGAAGGAACTGTTGAGAAGGGAAGAGAAGAAAAAAAAGGTGTGAAATCTTCTGTTGATATGTATGTGTGAATGAACATGTAATTTTCTGAGGGAGCTTTACTCATCTTGGTGTTTGGCATGGAATTCTCATAGGCAGAGCTGAGAACATTCATGAGTCTAGTGCAGTCTTGCTTCAGTTTTTTAAGCTTCAAAGACTCGCAGTCATGGAAGAGACCATTTTGTTGACCTGCTTGAGCATAGGTACCTGTGGTTAGAAGAGATACTGTAGGAAAACGAAAACAAAGGTTGTGACTAAATCTTGAACTAGGATGAGACCTATCAAAGCTTGGAGGGTAGTGAATAGGATAGCATTTTGATTGATGGCAATGTAGCAAATGATTATTAAAAATGTATTTGTTGGCTGGGGATGTAGCTCAGTGGTTCTGTCACCTGCCTTGCAAGCACAAGGTCCTGAGTTTGATTCCCGGTACCAAAAAACAAAAACAAAACAAAAATGTATTTGTTGGTAGAATATATTGTACATGGGATAGTGAAATTCATGCAAGGCCAAAAAAAAAAAACACCCTTAAAGAGTTTACTTCTTGATTTCTTATTAGATGGTTTTTTTTTCTCTTTCTCTTTGAACAAATATTTGTTTCACAATCTTAAAAATATTCATCAAAATATATTAACAACTTTGGGAGATTGCTGATATAATCTATGGAATACAGAATATGCTTTAGTACTTATTTTAGCACTTTTATTTGTTTCCATAACAAAAGTGATAGAATATGCAGTAAAGATACTTTTGTTAAAAATTTTATCAGGTTTATGAATACATTTAATGGAGTTGCTGCTTATGAAAATACTTCATGAAAGGCAATTAATTTGTAATCAACACTCACAAAAAAGGCATCAGCACACCTGTATGTTTCTACCAATAGCATAAAGCAGTACCCAGAAAATTTGCCTTTACTAGTGATGGCAAACCTTTTAGCACTGTCAATGACAACAAACAGTCCACTGTAGTCCACATGCCATGAGTTCACCACTGCTGCCCTATACCAAGCTATGTGATATTAAAAATGCCTTCTGGGAATACTACTTACAATAATAATGATTAATTCATAGTTATTGTTGGGCAAACACTTCATTTTTGTGAATAAGCTTGACATTTTGGGCTACATGACCAATGAATTTTGTGAGGTCCTTGCCAAGAAGTTTTTTCTTCAAAGTTCAATGTAGGTCATGAAGGAACTATGGATTTTAAAGCTCTATGTCTGACTTTCTGCAATTTTTAATATTCAGCTGTCATTCTTGATTTGTTTTGTTCCTTTACATCAGCAAATTTGTATAGAGGCATCATTTGTAGAAAACACACATAGGAGTTATATGATCACTTGACAAAGTCAGCTGCTAAGATGTATTTCGTAGTTCTTATATTTTTAATTTAAAAATGAATTCAATTTCCACTTCTAAGGAAGTGGTGGTGATTTCATTGGGTTCTCATCAAGAAAGTTGATGGTTAGAAAGAATAATTGCATGCCCCTCAGGAATTGATAAATATTGCTCATGTTTCAAATAACATGAGTGAACTATATATCTTTGTGGGGCAGTTTACTGATTACTGTCACAAAAGTATGATATTTGAAAAGTAAAACTGTATAGTTTTGTTTTCTACCTGATCCTTCTCATAGTATTTCCTCCCCATGAATTTGTATGATCACAAATAATGTTATATTTCTAAGCATTAGTTTACATGTTGTGTTATTTAAAATGTCACTTGAAAAGATTGAGATGCAGTTCCATTTTCAGGGGGCTTAGAAGAGAAAATATACAAATTGAGTAACTCAGGATTGAGAACGGGAGTGAGAGCTTTGATTTGGGTTACAGTTCAGTTGGGTATTCGGTTGACGTGGATATACAGACGAGCTGGAGGGACATTGCTACCTGTCTTCTTGCAGTCTGTAGATAAGATTTCTGGAAATGAGAGAAAGTATCTTGAAAGACTGGAGAGACCTCTTTCTGAGTTTACAGATGTGGTTAACTTTTGGCTTCACAAACACCAAAGTAGGAAAACGCCAGAGGAATGAAAGGAATAATGAGGCAATTACACCCGCGCAGGTGATGGAAGGGCTAGTCCCAGTGCAGCTTAGAGCAAGAAAGCACCTGGGCACGGAAGACCAAGGCCCAGGAGAATCTCGGTATCGTCAGTCATGCGTGTAAACAAACTTTAGAAACCTCCTCATTTTAGACTGCAAGATTGAACCTATGCATGTGAGCATTAAGGAAGTAAATGTTGAGAAGATACTAGTGTTTCCATAGCTACCATACTTTTGTTGGCCTCTGGTTGCATTTTATTTATTCATTCATTTATTTATTTTTTGAGACAGGGTCTCACTATGTACTTGAGACTGACCTGGAACTCACTATGTAGCCTAGGCTTGTCTGAAACTCATAGTGATCCTCCTGCCTCAGCCTCCCAAGTGCTGGTATTACAGGCATGCACCACCATGCCCAGCTTTGGTTACATTTTATTAAAGTGTATGCAGGGCATTACTTCACTGTCCTGCACTTCATGAAGAATGGTGTAAGAAAATGCACTATCAAATGTGTTGTGTAATTTGTATAGACTAACCTGAGCAATTGTGTAGGACCAAAGCATGCAGTTTATTTTACTTATTTTCTTTTAAAAATATTTTAACATTTAGAAAAATATCTTTAAAATGCAGGGATGTATATAATAAACATGTTAATACCCATCATCTAGTACTAAAATTGAAATTTTTTCATTTTGCTTCATATTTGTAAGAAATTTAAATGCAATAGAATATTACAGATGAATCCATTTTTGAGACCTTACTCTGAACTATTTTCCTTGCTAACCTCATCAGAGGTAATCATGAATTTTATTTCTATTTTTCTAGGCCATATATTGATTTTAACCCATGTATTATTTAGTTGGTGATTTAAAATTTTTCATGAACATGGTCATACTGTATCATTCTGGAATGCGTATTTCTTCTTTCAACCTTGTGTTATGAGATGTATCTATTTTAACACATAGAGACATAGCTCACTCTTTTTAGTTGCTGGTTCTGCAGTAGAAATGGTAGACATGTTCCAGAGTAGAAATATCCATTCTCAGGCTGGGGATTTAGCTGCGTTTGCCTATAGAGCAGCTTCCTCGCACGTGTCTGCCAGTGCTTATGTTCAGGACTCTTCCATGGTGCACCTAACACCACCTAGAAGGGGAATTGTTGTGTTGTAAGATTGGTATATTTTCAGTTTTGTAATATTTGCTTCAACTTTACAAGATATTACATCTGCACATTTTGAGCTATGCCAGTCTGATAGGTCTGAAAAGTTCCTTGTTAATTTTAAAATTTATATTCCATGATTACTTGTGAGATTGAAAATATTTTTGTGTTGACTGGGCAGATTTCTTCCTTTGTGAATTGCTTATTTATACTTTTTATACATTTTTCTATTTCTCTTTTTATAAATCTCTAGAAATTCCTTATAAATTCCTGATACCATTATTTTGCCAGTTGTGTGGATTACAAATACTTTCTCCCATTGGTCATTTGCTTTTTAATTTTACTTATAGTGTCTATAGTTTCATAGAAATTTAAAATTATTGAATAGTTAATGTTACTAAACTCTTCTTTTCTAAAAACTCATGAAGTATATTGGTACATTTTAGGCATACAATATGGTGATTCATCATTGGGAATTTGTACCTTTATATGATTTATCTTGGTTTTTATTTATTTATTTATTTTGCTATTCCCCTGCCTTTTTCAATGCTTCCACCTCTCCCTATTTATAAAGACTTTGTTTCCCTTTTCTCATATTTATTCCTTTCCCTTCTTTCCTTTCCTCTACCCTTCCCACTACCCCTTTGGACCTTCTCTTCCTGTTTCACATTATCTATTATACATTTTCATCCTTATCTATACTTTCAGTTTGTTACACCACAGAAACTGTTCAGTACTTACACATGGGTGCCCTATTTATTTCTTTCTTTTACCGAAAATTGTATATGTTTCTATTAATTTTTAGAAGATAATATAACAGGATATATAGAAATGACAATTTTATCAAGTTTATTCAATACAAGAATCAATTGGTTAAAATAACACCGGTTTGAGCAACACTCAGGATAATCAGTACATAAATAAACACACTCCCTGACTGACATTTGGGGCAAACTGACTTCCAGCTTGTCTTAAAAACCCTAAAGCCCATTAATTTCAGTCTTGTGCATGCATTTTTAAGGATCTATTTCTTCTTGAATCTCCTTTAAAATGTAATTATCCCTCAGAGAAACCATAGCTCTTGGCTTTATCAGCCCACACCTGATACTGTTGATCGCTTTGGCAGGGGTCACATAACAAGTGGTCCGGTGGAAGAATGGCTTATGGAGTCAGGCAGAAGGGCAGATACAGAAAAGGTGCAGAGAAGGTTCATGGATAAACTATTACCACAGAGATTTTCCCATGCCTAGTTGACTCCAAAGTTTGGTGAGCACAGTATTCAACTTAAAAAAAAATAAGGCATTTGAAAGCCCTTTACAAAGAATGTTTTGTGTAGAATGATTCTGTAATTCTTCTGGTCACTTGAGCTTAAAATCGTGACTCTAAAGTATGGAGTTGTTCAATCCTTTCTCCCCTTTCCTTAAAAGACAAGAGTCAGTTATCAAGTAATAGCATCACATTTTCTCTTTGTATTGTTTTTTCTATTTACCCTTTATTTTGAATCTCAACTTCTAAGATTATGATCCTCATTCTTGTTATCCCCCATTAAGTTTATTGGTACATTTAAAGCAAACAATACAATTACATTTATCATTGAGATCTTGTACCTTTGCATGATATGTCTTGGTTCTTATTTTTTCCCCATTATCCTGCCCTTCTTATTTCACTTGAGTATGGCCTCAATGTGTAACCGTTTAGCTATAAATGTCTCTAGTTTCTATTTCTTTATGACTGAGGTAGTACTCCCTTTTATTTTATTTTTTTAAACCCACATCTTTATTCAGCCTCCAGTTGATGG